ATCAGATCGAATCTCTACCATAACCACATCCCGCCGCCATCTCGACCACCTCAACCGGCTGCCATCTCGACAACCACAGCCCACCGGCGCCGATTGCTCCACCACAGCCCCCGCCGCCGCCCACAACACCTCGCCGCCATCTCAACCACCACAGGCCGCCGCCGCCTCCCCCATCCCAGCCCCCCGTCGCAGCCTCCTCCACCCCAGCCCCCGCCGCCGTCCACAACACCTCGCCACCATCTCAAAACACAGCCCGTCACCGCCACCTCCTCCACCCCAGCCCCCGCCGCCGCCCACAACACCTCGCCACCATCTCAAAACACAGCCCTGCCGCCACCGCCTCCTTCACCACAGCCCCCGCAGCCGCCTCTTCATCCACCACAACCCTTGGCTTCGACTATTACCAAATTAATTAACAAGAGAGAGGTATGGAGATAGAGAGGTGAGATACACATGGAGAAAAAAAACACAGATTGGAAAAACAGATTAGAGAACGTGTGAGAGAGGGAGGGAGAGAGAGAGAACGTGAGAGAAACCAAAAGAACGAAATAAATCTGAATTGGAGAAACGAGAATATGTAGGTTATATAATTTAAGGTATAAGGGCAAGATAGGGATTAAAAAAATATTAGGGATGTGGCTCATATATTATTTCAAATTAAGGATTTAATAAAAAAAATGAATTTGAACTTGTCATTTAGTTCAAATTAGGTTTCGTTTGAGGGGCTCATAGCATATTAACCCATATATATATATATATATATATATATATATATATATATATATATATATATATATTCTTTATCTCCTACTTTGTTCGCGTATTATTAAATTTATATAAATATTGACGTTGTTACCAATATCAGTATATCACTAATAAATTTTATTGTAATTTTTATTGTCATGTACTAAATTAATCGTTATTTTCACTTTTAAAGAGAATAATTTGTCAACAAAATTCAATAATATATATATATATATATATATATATATATATATATATATATATATATATATATATATATATATAATTTGAAGAGAATAAAATTCATTGAGCCATAATATTCTTCAAATTTCATTTTATATTATACATCAAATAGCATAAAACCAAAGATCAACCCTAATGATCAGAAACATCAAACTTGCAAACATCAACCAAATCACAGTTGATATTATAAACTTGGAAAAATGAGTTTTTTAGTCACGTAAGTTTGCTAGTTGAGAATTTTAGTCCACCATGTTTCAAAATTAGAATTTTAGTCCTGTAAGTTACAAAAGTTGAGAATTTTGGTCATATGACCTGCTATAACAGGTAATGTGATGGTTGGTTGAATGAGTTGGCATTTAAAATATTAAAATAAATAGATTAAAAATAAATTAGGTGATGTGGCTAATGAGTTGGAAAATTTTGAAGCGAAATAAAATATACCATAAAATTTTTTTTATATGAATGAAATAAGCATTTTTGCAGTAACTATTTTTAATTAATATTTCATAGTTTTCAATTGTTAAAAATATTAATTAACTATATTTTATTACTCGTTATGGATATTTGTTACTCTTGGTTTGATAATGTATTTTATGTTTGGAGGATCTAGAATACTTTTTTGGTATATTTAATTTAATAGAGTTTTGAATATATTTTATTATTTTGTGTATTTGATTTCTTATACTAATTATGATTGTGCATGTCATTTAACTTTACAACAAGGTTTAATAAAAGGTTTTTTTTTCGGTTTTATGTTGAATTTAATTGTTGGTTCAATTTCATTGTAATCACCAAGTATAGATTTGTAAAAAAATAAAATATTTAGATAAATATTAATTTAATTATTATTTTTATCAAAAAACTAAGAAATATTAATTAAATGTTAGTTAGTCTTATTAGTTACTTCCTTCATAAAAATATAGTTGTAGATTTTATTCAATGGGTTTATTATGGTTCTTTATTGCAAATATAACAAAAAAAATTAAATATATAAATTTAATATGTTAAAATTTCCTCATTATTTTGGTGAATTTGACATTGAGAATTAGTTTTTTCTCCGAAACTATCCAACTCATTAGTCACATTACCTAATTTATTTTTAATCTATTTATTTTAATATTTTAAATGCCAACTCATTCAACTAACCATCACATTACCTGTTATAGCAGGTCATAGGACCAAAATTCTCAACTTTTGTAACTTATAAGACTAAAATTCTGATTTTGAAACATGGTGAACTAAAACTCTCAACTAGCAAACTTACATGACTAAAAAACTCATTTTGCCTTATAAACTTCATATCTCAAACCGTTAAAACAGTAAGAATAACAAACATAAACAGTAAAACCGAACCGATAAACAAACAATAATAACTACCCGTCGTTATCGTCTTCCGAACCCTCCGTGTTCTTGCCATCCTCGACCGTAACTTGCATTTCCCAAACAAGACTTTCGATCTCCTCATCGACATCGGTAATCTCGCAATAACTATCGCACATCTTCCACACGTGCTCACTAACCACCAACGTAACCGTCAATCTTCTCTTCGTAAGCGGTAATCTCCTCCGGCGGCGGCAGGCAATCGTCGTCGTCGACGACAAAACCCTTCATCTCCTCGACGATTAAACTAATCGCCTCGACGGGAGCCCTAATCGCCTCGACGTGAGGTTTGATCTCCTCGACGCAAACCCTAATCTTCTCGACTTGTTCGTCTTTAATCCTCTTGGAAGAAATATACATCACCAACGCGTAAGGCCTATTGGCAACCTCCGCGGCATAAACCCTAATACCGTCGACGGAAGCCTTGATCAAGTCGATAAAAACCTTGATCTCTTTGACGTAATTAATCATGTCATCCAAACGAAGATTCAACTCGTCCACACCTCTGCCGGTAAAATCGAGACCGTAATCAGTGTTGATCTTGTCGAGTAAATCGGTAATCTCTTTGATCGAACCGTTGGTTATTTCTTCCCAAGATGTTTTAATATTTTGATGTCGGATAAAATTTCGTCGAGAATTTTTGCGAGAGCTTCGGCATCGGCATCGGGATTGGTGCCGGGTGGTGGGACAGAAGGGCCGGTAGAGGCAGACATATTGTTCCCTGAATATTCAACTAATTAAGATTAATTATTATATTCAAACTAAATAAAGTCACATGAAATATTTAGGAAAAATAAATTTAAACAAGGAAACGAAGTAGTATACTTGAAAGAACACCTGAAAATTAACACAGGTCTAGAGAGAGAAAGAACGTGCAGAGAGAGAGACGCACAAATCTGAAACAAGAAAGATACTTATGAAGGATATATATATATATATATATATATATATATATATATATATATAGAGAGAGAGAGAGAGAGAGAGAGAGAGAGAGAGAGAGAGAGAGAGAGCACAAACCTGAAACAAATTAAAGAAAGATGCTTATAAAGGATAGACTTAACCCTAATTTTGTTTGTTGAGAAAAGCTTTTGCCTTTGGCTTATAAATAAACATATATTTACTATATAGGGTAAATTACAAACACCCCTGAGGTATGGTCAAATTACAAAAACCCCCCTCTTGTTTGGAAAATTACAACCACCCCTCAACTCCTCAAATTTAGTGGAATCTTTGAGATTATATAGAATATTATCACTTTTGTATCCGTTTTATCCCATTCGAACTCTACATTATGAAGCAAGATGATCATAATATGTGTTTTTTAGCTTGTATATATCAGATTGTGGTGCATCGAAAACTTATTTTTACACAAAGCGAGTACAAACTAGAGCACATTCCACGGAATCTAGATGATTATGTTGAATTTGGCACCATAAGAGTGGAGCTGTAAGAAAAAATCATAGTTGAGGGGTAGATATAATTATCCAAACAAGATTGGTTTTTTCGTAAATTGACCATACCTCAGGGGATGTTTGTAATTTACCCTTACTATATATAAAAGTGTCGATACAAGCACAAAATATAAAATATTTCAATAATACAAAACAGCAACCAGCCAATTCCAAGTAATTAAAAAACTACGGATGGAAATTGGAATGAAATTTCCGAATTCCGCCAATTCTGATTGAAAAATATCTAAATTTTGAATGGTATTTTTCATTTCGATTTCCGACACATTGGAATTTATTTGTCGATTTCCGATTTCCGGTCCAATTTTAGTTCCGAACTTTCTGTGGTTTTTTTTTTTTTTGAGGAACTGTTGTTTTTCGAAATATATAATATAATTTTATGATATATTTTTTAATTCAATAATATAACTTGAATATATTTTTTATAATAAATTTTATATTAAATATTGAAGGATCAAGTAAATTAACTCTTTTTTAGATTTTCTTGAATTCACCTGCAAAATTTTAAGAATGATAGAAAAATATTGTGAAAATTTCCATTATACCCGAATTTGGAACAAGAATATAAAGTAATGTTATTTCGAAATTCCGCCGACCGATTCCGAGGCATTTCGAAATCAAATGAATTTTTGCATTCCAATTTTTTTGGAACAGAAATTGGAACCCAGTTTTTTCTTCCAAAAATTTTTGATTTTTTTCCGACCGATGCATTCCGTCCCATTTCGACCCCTAGAAGAAACACATCGTATGTATATATGTTTTATGTCTTTTCCCTTTTATTGAAATAATTGGCTTACAACCCAAGCGCAAACTCATGCTCGAAATCAAATTGTGTAATAAATATAGGGGGGCTTAAGCTATAGGTCCCTGGTGACAAAACTTATTAGAACTAAATGACAAGTCTAACTAAACATTTGCTTCACATCCTTTTTAAATTTCATTCCAAATATGCCCTCACATACGAAAAATGAAATATGCATCAAGTAAAATTTAAACTGTATTTATCATTTTTTCATTCTGCATTTAGCATTTTTATTTTCGCATCTAGCACTTTTGTTATTATTTTTTTTCGTAGAACATTTTATTATTATTTTTTTTTTTTTTGCATTTTCGTATTTTTCCTTTTTTTCCTACATAATATTGAAAATTATGATTTTTTTAATTTTTTTCGGCTGTAGTCTTAGAATCCCATAGAAAATCGTAGCAGTCCGTAGTATGTATAGACACTCGTAGAAAACTATAGTAATCCATAGTCACATATTCATAAAACCTTAATTCCTCTTTTCAACCCTAGCCGCCAGACATCATAGACAATCATAGACATCTATAGACATGAAATCGAAAAATCTTAGATCCGCCCCACCAAATCGTAAATCTCCTCCACCAAACCCTAATATGCGACGCCAACATCACCACGCCGCTAAAGATGGCACAAACCCCACCTATGCTGCCATTGCCCCCAATCCCCACCCCCAACGTCGAGCGCCACCTACACCATTCCCCAGCCCCGAGCACCGCCGCCCAACGACCCCATCCTCATGGCCAAAAACCGGGTCACCATGAGCGCCTCCCCCAGAGCAGCTGCCGCCGCCATCGCCATCCCTCCCCCTATGCCACCGCCTCTAGCACCATAGTCGATTCCATTGTCATAGCTTGAGATCGAGAGAAATAAATTGAGAGAGCCAGATAGAGAGAGCGAGATACAGAGAGAGGCAGAGAAAGAGAGAGAAGAAAAATAAAGAGGAAAGAGAGCGAGATACAGAGAGAGGCAGAAAAGTAAAGAGGAAAAATAGATCTGAGAGAGAAACGTGAATACGTGGGTTATAATATTTAGGGTTAAGGGCAAGATAGGAATTAAAAAAAAATTAAGGATATGAGTCATATATTATTTCAATCTAGGGATTTAGTTAAAATATTTGATTTAGACTTATCATTTAGTTCAAATTAGATTTGCTACGCGGGTCTCGTAGCATATTACCCCTAAATATAGTTCTAAAACACGTATTATTTAATAGTAATTAAATAAATAGGGATGGGATCGGTGGTGATAAATGTCGTTCAATTTTAATAGTACGCTTTCAACTTCAAATGTGATTTGAACATTTGTTAAGTCCGAATTTGGTAAAAAAGTGAAGACACAAAATTTTGTAGATTTACGATTGGATGTCTGGCAATAGAGTTATGCATTCATGAAGGAACATTGACTACAACATGAAAGAATATAATCGCCTTGACCCTTCACGCTTGATATACATGACAAGCCATTGAATCTCGTCGACAGCAAGGTCAATCTCACGATCGTTATCCGAAATCTCGGTGACAGATTAATCGATCGCTAATCACCTTGAAATAACCGTTAATGATCTTCTCTTCATATTAACCGCTAATCTTCTCCGGTACAAGAACCCTTAATCTCCTCGACATTGAAATTTTAATCTCCCGGACAAAGCCATTAATCTTCATGGCAAAAGCCTTACTCTCCTCCACACAACCTTTAATCTTCTCGACATAATTTCTTAGTGTTCGCGGCATAACAATTAATCATAACCGCGCAAAACCATTAATCACCCCGACAGAAACCCTAATCTCATCGACAGAAACCTTAATATCATCGATAAAAACCTTAATTTCACCGACACAATCATTTGTCACACTGACGTTATAATTCATGTCATCGACACCGTCAATAATCTTCTCGATAGAATCGTAATATACATAAAAAACATACACGAAAAGATAAATATAAATTCGGCCCGTATATATGAAGGGTTTAGTATAGAGAGGGATATCGATTATCGAACAAATATGCATTCCATTATAAAACAAGACCTTTACCTTAGTTATAGACTTTATAACAAAAAAAAAAAACAAAAAAAAAAAAAGCATTTCAAGCAAGAGGCTTATCATCATCTCCTTTGTCTTTGCCGATTCCAGGTTCCACGTCAGCTTGCCGATCTTCAAGCTGCATCTCTTGAAACTGCTGAGTCATCATCTGCCCATACTGTGGCGGAAGCGGCGGTGGCGATGGCTGTGGCTGTGGTAGTATATACATGGCTAACACATACACGAACAAAACAATATAAGATATGGAATATATTCTTCTTGTTAGGAATAAACCAATTAGGGTAAAATTTGTACCATTAGTACTCATAGCATCGGGCACTTGACGTGTGGTCGTTGGATCGGAGTAAGCATTCCTGAGGAGACGTCGGGCAATAGCATTCGCCCGTTGGGCAGCAGCCGCATGTTCGTAGGGACTAGGTCTAACTAGGTGGGTGCTAGGGTTAGCCCTCAATCGATTAGGGTTAGGGTTAGGGTTAGCAAACGATCGGTATGCGTCGGCCCTCTCTTGGTAGTAGTCAGCCATTGCTTGGTAGTAGTTAGCCATAGATAGGTTTGTGCGGGGCTGCACTTGGTGGTGCTCCATAGCGGCGTAGAGAAGCGGGTGTTCGACCAGAGGCGGCGGGCGGGACGATTTACGCGTGGGTGGCGTGACGGAGTGGCCGGTGGATGTAGACATTTTTTTTCCTGAATATTCCAATTAAGCATAAGATTTTAGCTACACATGAAAATACTGATAACATTAATTTATGCCGGAATATATATATCAAAAATTAGATATGAAAAATTCATAAATATATATTTTTGGAGAGAGAATAGATACAGGGAAAACACAGAGAGAGACGAAGAACATACACAGAGAGATCTTACACAAAGAGAGATGCAGAAAAGTGAAACAAAAAGAAACGGAGAAATAATAATTACTAAAATATATTATGATAAATAATTACTATAATTTACCCTAATTTTGTTCTTGGACTTTTGACTTTGGGCCTAAGTTGAAAATTGATTTTTTTTTAATACAATTTGCAAAGGCCTCCAACTTTTAAAATCGAAAAATTTCGAAATGAAATTTGCGTAATTTGGAAATTTTCAATTTTTTCAGTCACCTAATTTAAAATATAAACTAAGGTAATTTGGAAATTTTCAATTTTTTCAGTCACCTAAATTAAAATATAAACTAGGTAATTTGGAAATTTTCAATTTTTTCAGTCACCTAAATTAAAATATAAACTAGGTAATAATGTTGATATTATAAGTGTAATTTTTGGAAGAAAAAAAAATTCACAATTCTCTGAATTATTTCTGGAAAAATAAATTTGGATCGGAAATCAGAATATCATACATATATTTCAATTGTTCAAAAAGTCCAAATTTTTGGAATACAGAATGAAAAATAAATTTTCCAACATTGTAAGAATTTGTTTCAATTTCACCCTTGACTTGGATTAGCATTAAGATTGATTATTCAACACAAATTGTGTTCAATTGCTTAGTTTACGATAAAATGAAAAGTACCGTTACAAGGAAGTTTAGCAAGCGAATGGGCTATAAACAGTTGCCCGAACGTTTAATAAAACGAAAAGAAACAGAATTAAACTAAGAGACCGTCGAAAGGCATTCTTCAATGAGAGCTCCATACAACCAAAGACCCGTATCCGAATTATTGAAATCATTAATAAGTTGAATACAATTAGAACTGAAAAAAAAATGAAACACAAAAAGTATCTCTTATTCATTTTGGGGAAATGTTTTGGAACATGGCATAGATCCACAAAGAAGGTATAATTAAAAAAAAAAATATGCTATTTATCCATTGGATTATATATAAAAATTAAATATTGGTGCGCCGCCTAGTCTGAAAATGATTTTTCGAGACGAAAGTTCATCATCATCATCCGACGGTTGCTGCTCTTGAAACCGCCATCTTTCATGCTGTACACTTTGGGTTGGTAAGTATCTCATGTACACAACCTAAAGCTTCCTAAAACCCAAATAACTACACCGGATCGATGCATTTAATTAGACTTGTACGAGTTAACTCGATTTCTCAATTAGTATGCGAAAAAGAAAGAACCACCGTCGCCAAACGGTCTCTTCTTCTTCTCGAATGCATCGTATTGTTGCAGCTCTATTTTCTGCCTCTTGTACAAAGTAGGTTTTCGAGGGAGGGGGGCCATGGCCCCCCTAGTTCCTGTGCTGGCTTCGCCACTGCTATTCGGACGATATTCCAAGCTTTGTTTGGTTTTTATCACCACCGAGAAAAGAATCACTCGAATAAATGCCAATTTTATCGAGTTCACACCTATACGCGCACGTTTCAAATTATCACTACCGATCATCAATAAGAGAGAGAGAGAGAGAGAGAGAGAGAGAGAGAGAGAGAGAGAGAGAGAGAGAGAGAGAGAGAGAGAGAGAGAGAGAGAGAGAGAGAGAGAGAGAGAGAGAGAGAGAGAGGAGGTACGCTAAAGTCACTTACTGTCAGTCTTATCTCTTTAAGTGACTGCATGCAGGCATCGGTGCTCTTCTGCGAGTAATTCACAAAACGATGGCGTAACAACTTGCTAGCTGTCGGCCTTTCTGCAGGGTTTCTACGGAAGCAACATTGTAAGAAATCCTTGCCATCTTCCGACAGTGTTTCGGGTATTGGTGGTGTCTCCTTTAAAACCTTAAACAATGCTGCTGCCTGAAATATATATATATGACATTTTACTATCAAATCAAGATTTAAGAAAAACAAACACACATGAACGATTATATAATTTGCTAATTAACTAACCCCTTCGAATTCGCTCCAAGGAGGTTTTCCATCCATCATTTCGATTACGGTGCAACCCAAACTCCATATATCTACTGCTAAAGCATGATCGGGGCTAGCATCCATTGGCATCGCAGACTGCAATAACTGCAATAGATAATGTGATGTTAGTATATTTTTTTGGGCATGCAATAGTTTTGTGGATGATGAAAAAATATGAAGTTGCATAAGTATATGTACACCTCCGGAGCCAGCCAATATGGACTACCCTTTAACGATAGATTTGCCGTTTCCCCATTCAGCTGCAAATATTGAAAATGAAAAAAAAAAAAAAAAAAAAAACGCAAATTCAATCATTACCAGCTGCAGAATTGTATGTAATAATAGAAGTTTACTATAAAGATGTTAGATTAAAACTCACATGTTTAGCCATTCCGAAGTCAGCAAGCTTGACAACTCCATACGCATCAACGAGTAAATTAGCACCTTTGATATCCCTACAGAAAAATTGATCGTCACTAAACCCGATCAAGGAAGAATTTGACACGTACTAACTATAAAATTACCTGTGTATGGTATTCTTTTTGTGCAAATAGGCCAGCCCACATAGAATATGACGAGTAAAATTGCGAACGACGGATTCTGTAATAGCTCCACAGTGATCGTGGATAAATCTGTTGATCGAACCAGGATGCACGTATTCCAGATATATATAAAACTTGTCGTCAACCTGCATGAACATAAAACAAAAGATCCTATAACTAGAGCATCCACGCAGAAACGAACAACGGTGGGAACTGATTTTCGTGAAGGAAATCACTTACAATCTCACTTCCGTAATATTGCACGATATTTGGATGCTTTAGACGGCTGAGAACTTTAATTTCCTGAAAAAAAATAATAAGCATCAGTGCATCTATTATTGATAAGTAAGAGGGTAGCAAGATAAATGTTAAAAGTCGAACAAAACCTGCTCCAACTGTCTCATACTCTCTGCGGATTTTGAATCATCCGGTAAAATATCGACTTCCTTCATCGCACACAAGGCTCCAGTCTCCCTATTCAGACAGTAACAACTAGTTAGTAAAGCACTTTTAAATTATCCTTACTTAAGAAAAACACGCAAAGTGTGTCCATTCATCCACACATACCTGTTTGAAGCAACATACACACTTCCAAATGTGCCCCTACCGATGAGCTTTCCTTTTTGCCACCGAGATTTAATCGGCACCAATTCAGGTTTAACTGCAAGACTCGAAATTACATTGGGTTGTGAAAAATCAGACGTTGACGCCACTGGGGATACCGGAGTGGACTGTAAAGACATTCCTGCCCCTGGAGGAAGAGGCAGAGGATGTACTGTGGCATGAGGACTATTCTCCCTTCGTGCCAATGAGGTCTCGGAGGGTATTCTTGTAATTGGGCAAGAACCTACTGGGCTCTGAAGGGGAGAACTGTCAACGCTCGATGCAGTTCTATCCCAAGGCATTTGGTAATAGAAACCGAACCCGTGATTCGAATCGGAGTGGGGAATTTCAGGGGCGGACCAGACGTGGAAGACACTGTTTGGGGGAGTCATGTAATGAGGTGTGAACATGTCGCCGTTCAGGGGACTTGGTGCAGGGCTTGAATAAGGGCTAGCTGGAGCACTTATCGGGATATTAATGGTGAAATTGTTGGTTGATCTTTCTTTCGTGTTTTGCTTCTGGCGTGACTTCCTATACGACCGATTTTCAGAGTGTTCTGCTTTTGGATGCGTGTTTTGGCCGATTAATCTGTTGGGTTTGGGAATAAAATAAACATTTAAAAGAGAATCAATATGCCACCATGTTCAACGAAATAGTCCTGTATGCCACAAATTAACGAGAAAACCAACCGAATCAAAATGCAGCAATGTCTAAAGGAAAACTCTACTCTACGAGAGAAATTTCACAGAAGTCGTAAAATGATATAGAGCAGGTTCCGATGCAATTGGAGTTGTAAACGAAATCTGTTTCCAACATTATGAAATTGAGAACTTCTACTATAAAGAAAAATTTAGAGAACGAGAGGTCGGGGTTCGGAAAACTGATAATTCAGAGATAGAGAATGGCAGCTGCCTCGAATTATCCCAAATCCATATAAAAAATAAAAGATAAATACTACAAAGTTTCTACGAGCAACAAAACAACAGGATGCTACATTCCCAAATGCCTCAATTAATTACCCTATGTTATGAAGATGCAATGAAATGATTATACAAAGCTTTACAGCAGATATCATAAAATTCCTGAAATAAAACAATTAATATGTTAATTGTATTTTATCTTATACCTCTTAAGCCCATCGAATCCATCAATGGTATTGGTCGAGCTCAACGCCTCTGCGGTGTGCCTTTCTCTCTCTCTGTCTCTTTCTCTCTCCTCTCCCCTCTGATTTCGAATCGCCTTTGGCGAGGGCAGCGGAACGTTGTAGGGACTGGGGGAGGCGAATTTAGGGTCCCGCCGCAGCAGCACGTGCAGCTCCGGCATCGGCAGCGGCTGAGGCGACGGCGACCTTGCCGGAGGAGAATGGCAGCTGGCCGAACGCCACGATTCGACGTCGTTCTTCGCGAAGGGGCGGAATTTCCTGGACCGCATGAGGCTCCGGTACCGCCGGGAGGAGAAGAAACCGGGCTTTACAGAGTACCGGCCAGCTCGGTCGCCGGAGATGACGCTGTCGTCGTCGGAATTCGACTTGGAGGAAGAGGCGAATGCGCCCTGCCACCAATGCATGATCGCCGGTGATTAGCAAAACCCTTATTAATCTCAACCCTGAAAAACCAGCAAAGCAATGTTTTGGAGGGGGTTATTGAAGATTGTTTACAAATTTAAAACGTGGTTTACAAATAACTGACGTCATAATTTATATATAAAATAATTATTTTATTTTCAAACTGAAAAAGAAAGTGATGGGATTTGAAATATAGGGGCAAGTGAAAAGGGGAAAGTAGAACCAGGGATATAACCCCAATATACAATTACAAATCAATTATTATTATTATTATTAAATTCCTAATATAGAGTTTTTAAAATAATTATTGGTGCAGGTACCTATCAGCTTGGGAGGCCAGTTGGAGGTTATTTGGATTTGATATTCACTATAGAGACCCACCCGTAATGAGATTGAGTTTTCATCTACCTGACTGCCAAACAGTTGTGTTCAATGATAATCAACATTTACATAATGTGCTGAACAAACCGTCTGCTAAACAAACAATGTTCTTAGCTTGGTTTCAAGCAAATAAGAGGTATCCAAAAGCTAGAGATATTAAGTATGCAAATTTTCCACAACAATTTGTGTACCATGAAGACTCTTTAAGGTGGGAGCCTAGAAAAAAAGGATTTGCAATTGGAAGTGTTAGAATTTATTTCGTGCAGATATAAATTATTTGTGTCAGATTCAGTTTTTCGTTACTGTTGCGTGAAGTGTTGCAACAGTTCGTGAAACAGTTCGTAAAAACAGAAATAAACGAGACACAAATTTTAATGTGGTTCGGATACAATTGTACCCTACATCCACGGGGACCTGCAAATAAAATTTACTAATTTTTAGTTTTACGAATACAATAATAGGACTTAATCAAAATACAAAGACTCCCTCTTTGTTGACGCCGTTCTTGTAAACTACGCTGAATTATAAATCTTCAATTTGCAGCACGTCCCTTGCTCCGCACGGTTGAACTCCCTTCAACGCTGAATCCCTCAGTCGGCGGATCGATCTCCTCCCGAGATCTGTTTAAGCCCCTCTCCCGAAGAACCGATCTTCTTTTTGTATAGAAGAAGCAAACTTGTGATACTCCTTGAATCTTGGTGTCTTCACCACAAAGCCTTGAAGCCGATATATTTTCTATGAAAATCACGTATCACGATGGAGCAATAAAAACGAGAGGAAGAAAAATATTTCTCTGAAATCTTCTCTCGATAAAAAAGACGCTCCAGGTGCAGCAAAAATAAGAGCAGAAAAATATAATTTTTCTTCTCCAACAAAAGGCGTGCAACAGCAACCAAGAAGAGAGAGATCGACTTCTCTCAAAAAAAAACGCGCGAGCCGTATTATGTTCCTGCTTCTTCTTTTATAGTTTAGGAACACTCCTGTATTAGGTTTTACAAAGTTAGAGACGTAGAAGGAATTATCTTGTTAAAAGATATGGAATAAGAGTCCATGCCTTATTAAAATATTGTCATCCTAATTTAATGGGAATTCCCATGTAAACAAACAACCAATTAATGACAATAAAATATAAAAGATAATCAAGGAAATCTTTTCCTTCTTGAAAAATTATACGCACAAGGACTATTGGGTAGTCTTGGTGTACAAAAACTCTTTTTGATTAATAAAATAGTTTTCTATATAAAAGAAACAATTAATGACAAATTAAAGAATTTACGTAAACAAGGAGACTTCCCTTTTGTGTTTCACGGTACATAGGACTTGTTGCACAAGTCTTTACTCAGCCCTTGTTTATTAGAATCCAATTAGATTCTAACAATCTCCCCCTTTGTCATTGATTGATTCTAACATGTTCTCCCCTTGAGTAAATTGCCTGAAAATGAAACAATAGAGGATATAAGGAAACAATAAAACTAAAGATCATCCTCAACATCAAAAGAACAGCTCATCATCATAATCTCTTTCAACAACAAGAGTGGCATGAACTGCTGCAATAGCAAGTGCCACAGTTTCAACAACTGTTCCAGCAGTAGTGGCTTCGGCAGGTGGTTCACAACGGAGTCAGCTCCCCCTGCATGTGTTTCTCCCTCTGTGAATGATCCTTAGGCAGCTCCTCTTGTAAATGCATTCATTCTTCCCCTTTGCTTACTCGGCTTGATAGACTTGGAAGGCGGTGGATGACAACGTGGTAAATTATCCACGTGATAAGAGACTCAGCAAATAACGTCGGCATTATAACTCCTCCTTTTTTATTCTTGTGAAGACCTAAACCAATTAATGACAATAAACATCTCCATAGAATTCCACTTGGTGTTGTGGACTTAGAATCCCACCGAGATTCTAACACTCTCCCCCTTTGGCATTGATTGGTCAGAATATTTACTCCCCCTAAATATATGATACCTGCATGAACAAGGGTTAGCAAATTCAGAATAACATCTGCACATATAAACTGTTGCAACAGTTTATCAAACAGTTCACCAGATAGTGTAAACCGTAAATAAACCATAATTCCAAAATAAAAACAGATAATTCGTTCAGATAAGCACGAGATAAAAGGATATGCAGTAGCAGAAACAACTTCTCTTCACAATGCTTATTATTTGTCCTATACTTCACGCAACAGCAACTGTCTCATGCACTGTTTCAACAGTTTTCTGAACTCCCCCTGCATGCCTGCACTGTTCCAGCAACTGTCTGATGCACTGTTGCAACAGTTGTCGGAACTCCCCCTGTGTTCATGCCATCGTTACTGTTCTTTTCTCCTGTTCTTTTCTCCCCCTTTCTGGGCAATCACCATGCAGAGATAACTCAACATGGACTAATGATCTTGATGATTCAAGCAAGCTGTTCAAACACTTAACAAAAAGATCAAAACGAAGAGAGAATCTTGGAAGGAAGTGAGAATAATCACTATACATAACGTGCACAGAAAATCACAAACTCACAAACTCAATACCACACGATAATTGCAATGCTAAAATCAAAGGATAGTGATATCAAATCCAACATTAAATAGCAAAGACTACAGACTTTGCCAAACTTCATAAGAAACGTGGAAATGTGAGGAGTAAGCCCAATAGATCCGGCTGCAACAAAAAAATTAAATTTAACCGGCACATAAACAAAAAATCCCGTCTCTCTCTCTTTTTTTTTTTTTTTTTTTTTATTTATTTTAAATAATGCTTAATGCAAGACAAGAAGTAAACATGAGAAATAAACATGAGTGAAGAGACATATGTGAATAGGATACTGCATGGACAAACAAAACATATGGGATTTATCTTCACATTTACGACAAGCGCAATCCCCAAAAATCCGACTGCCAATGCAACCAATAAACTTAATAATCCCAAGTCAAACACAAAGATGCTCTTATTAGGTAGCGTACACACACGTCTAATGGTAGCTTTTTCCATGAAAAACAGAGCAATTTAAAAGGAACGAGATTATGCTGGTCGTGCAATGTGTAGTCCCCTGGGCTTTCTAATTGAGCTTTGTAGTAAGTGTTCGATCAAGTGGTTTACTGGCTCGACTCAACTAGGCTTCGAACTATTCACTGACCATATATATAATTTATATTGGCCGTGCAATGTGTAGTTCCCTGGGCTTTCTAATTGAGCCTTGTAGCGAGCTTTCGGCCACGTGATTTACTGGCTCGACTCAAAAAGGCTTCGAACTATTCACTGACCAAATGGTTGTAGTTATATATATTAGTAACAGTAGTTCAAGAGTAGCTTTCACTCATTAAAAGAGGCAGCTTTTCCCTATAAAAACATCCAACCATGACAAGACTATTCAGAGAAATAAATAAGTTGGAGCCTTTTAAGTAATCATTTTGGGAATTGGTGAAGTTCTACCCCACAAAATTTAGAAATACACGAAGTATCAAATTCACATTTGTCTCAATCATATGCAGTATGCTTAATGCAGGTCCTATATGAGATGCAAAAACATATGAAGTGTCCTACCTCTAAAAGTTGCAAGTCTGGACACACAGACAGTTGCAACAGTTCATGCAACTGCATCAGATTAAACAACATAAATTCCCAGCGATTTTCGCAAGGAATCAAATTTATGTGCATCAAGGGTTTTTGCAAAAGCATCAGTTAATTCATTCTCCGTTGCAGCATAATCAATTGAGACAACCCCCTTTTCGACCAAGCCCCTTATGAAAAGATGACAAATATCAGTAAGCTTAGTTCTCGAATGCTGAATTGGATTCATAAACTTATTTTTCACATACAAATTATCACAATTCAGATTACCAAGTTTTTTATTCCCCAAACTAGTTTTGTCACCAGAACTGTTGGAACAGTTAGTACTATCATGACATGAGTTTAAAGAAGTAATGGCAGATAAACAATTAAGATCAGACTTCTTTACCCAGATTTTTTGTTGAGTTTTATTCACTAAATCAACCTTTATCTTGGGTTTTTGAGACGACACAAAAGTATGATCAATTTTAGCGGAAAGTGGTGAGCGGGCCATTATTCTTTTAACTAATTTCAAGTACTTAAAACACCTAGGTCGTATATGACCAGGAGCATGACAAAAATGACAGGTAGGGACAAAACGTTTTCTTTGAGATGACTGAGTTGATGCAACTGTCGCAACAGTTTGTGAAACAGTGGATTGTTTAACAAAATTGATTTTTCTTTTTGGATCTTCTTTCTGTTTCAATGCATCATTAGATAGCTGATTACGTCCTATACCTGTACGACCGCAATTCGGCTGATTTTGGTTCAAAATTTCATTCAAAGTTACCCTACCAGTATTAAACTTAGAAATAGCATCTTGGGTTTGAGCAAATTTAGCCTTCAAGCTATCTGTTTCTCTACTAGCAGAAATAACATTGTGTTCAAGAGTAGAAATTCGTACCTTCAATACTTTGTTTTCCTCAATTAGGACAAGCTTCTCTTTTTCTAAGAATTTATTTGACTCACACACCTGAAGAAATTTTTCGTACATCTTTTCATAGCATTGCTTTATTTCTTCCAAGGATGACACGTCATCATCGCTGTTGTTTTCTGAATCCCAATCATCACCTGCAAGATTTAACGGAGTTAATCTTTTATCAGATATTGAATGCAACTTATCATACCTAAGTTCTGTCTGAACAGTCTGTCCAACTGTTGCAACAGTTTCAGCGACAGTCAGTTTGCACTCGTTTATCTGAGTAGTTCCTTCGTAGGCCTCTTGTAGAACATCCCATGCCTCCTTTGCTGATTTGCACATTGATATCAATTTGAATTGATCTTCATCGATACAACTCAAGATAGCATTGGTTGCCTTGGAATTATAATCTGCTATTCGTACTTCTTCATCAGTCCACTTCTCTTTTGGGGTTTGAATGATCTCGTGTGACTCATTCATTGAGGTAGGATGTGTCCAACCAATTAGAATCGCGCGCCAGGCCCATTCATCAATAGATTTAATGAACATCTTCATCCTTATTTTCCAATCAGAGTAGTTCAATTCACCCAAGACAGGTGGTAGGAATGCGCCTTCACGATGATTATTCATGTCTGCACAAAAAAAATAAAAAATAATTAAATCCCAAAATCTCACTAAGTGTATCTAGTGACAGGCTCTGATACCAATTGTTAGAATTTATTTCGTGCAGATATAAATTATTTGTGTCAGATTCAGTTTTTCGTTACTGTTGCGTGAAGTGTTGCAACAGTTCGTGAAACAGTTCGTAAAAACAGAAATAAACGAGACACAAATTTTAATGTGGTTCGGATACAATTGTACCCTACATCCACGGGGACCTGCAAATAAAATTTACTAATTTTTAGTTTTACGAATACAATAATAGGACTTAATCAAAATACAAAGACTCCCTCTTTGTTGACGCCGTTCTTGTAAACTACGCTGAATTATAAATCTTCAATTTGCAGCACGTCCCTTGCTCCGCACGGTTGAACTCCCTTCAACGCTGAATCCCTCAGTCGGCGGATCGATCTCCTCCCGAGATCTGTTTAAGCCCCTCTCCCGAAGAACCGATCTTCTTTTTGTATAGAAGAAGCAAACTTGTGATACTCCTTGAATCTTGGTGTCTTCACCACAAAGCCTTGAAGCCGATATATTTTCTATGAAAATCACGTATCACGATGGAGCAATAAAAACGAGAGGAAGAAAAATATTTCTCTGAAATCTTCTCTCGATAAAAAAGACGCTCCAGGTGCAGCAAAAATAAGAGCAGAAAAATATAATTTTTCTTCTCCAACAAAAGGCGTGCAACAGCAACCAAGAAGAGAGAGATCGACTTCTCTCAAAAAAAAACGCGCGAGCCGTATTATGTTCCTGCTTCTTCTTTTATAGTTTAGGAACACTCCTGTATTAGGTTTTACAAAGTTAGAGACGTAGAAGGAATTATCTTGTTAAAAGATATGGAATAAGAGTCCATGCCTTATTAAAATATTGTCATCCTAATTTAATGGGAATTCCCATGTAAACAAACAACCAATTAATGACAATAAAATATAAAAGATAATCAAGGAAATCTTTTCCTTCTTGAAAAATTATACGCACAAGGACTATTGGGTAGTCTTGGTGTACAAAAACTCTTTTTGATTAATAAAATAGTTTTCTATATAAAAGAAACAATTAATGACAAATTAAAGAATTTACGTAAACAAGGAGACTTCCCTTTTGTGTTTCACGGTACATAGGACTTGTTGCACAAGTCTTTACTCAGCCCTTGTTTATTAGAATCCAATTAGATTCTAACAGGAAGAATTAGAAGCGTTCCCCCAGGAAAGGGAGAAGAATATTATCTGAGATTGCTACTTAATATTCAGAATGGTTGCACAAGTTTTGAAGATATCAGAACTGTCAATAACAATATCTACCCAACGTTTAGGGATGCATGCTACATATTGGGATTGTTAGATGACGATAAAGAGTACATAGATGCTATCAAAGAAGCAAGTACTTGGGCAAACGGAGGTTACATCCGAAGGTTATTTGTTGTCCTGTTGATTTCAAATAGTTTAACGAGATCAGAACATGTTTGGGAAAGCTGTTGGTCAGATTTGTCAGATGATATTGCATACAAACACCAACAACTTCATAATAATTCAGGTATCTTATTTTTTAAATGTGTTATGCATAATATTTTCATTTGATCAGTATTTAAATTTAACTTTTATTTTTTTACAATCAAACAACCTTGATAAAATATTATCTTCACTTCATAAATGCAGATTTCACTTTATCAGATGACAGCTTAAAAAATTATGCTTTGCTTGATATTGAGAAAATCATGCAAAGCAACGGTAAGAGTTTACGTAATTATGACTCTATGCCGCTTCCAATTGAATCGATGGTAGATGAAAGAGAAAACAGGTTAGTGCTCGATGAACTAGAGTATGATGTGTTTGCTATGCGTGACGAACTTTCAAAGTATCTCTCTACTATCACCATAGAGCAGAAAAAAGTTTCTGACACAATCATGTCTGCTGTAACAAACAAGAGTGGTGGAATGTACTTTTTGTATGGTTATGGTGGGACAGGAAAGACATTTATATGGAAAACATTATCTGCTGTAGTTCGTTCTAGAGGAGAAATTGTTATTAATGTTGCATCAAGTGGTATTGCATCGCTACTACTTCCTGGCGGTAGAACAACTCATTCTAGATTTGGACTTCCAATAATTGTGCATGAGGGTTCCACTTGCAGCATCAGTCAACAAAGTCCACAGGCAGAGTTATTGATGAAAGCAAATCTTATTATATGGGATGAAGCTCCAATGATGCATAGATATTGTTTCGAAGCACTGGACAACACCATGAGATCTATCTTACAGTCGGACGAACCTTTTGGTGGAAAGGTGGTCGTTCTAGGAGGTGATTTTAGGCAGATTTTGCCGGTTATTTTAAAGGCATCCAGACAAGATATTGTTCATGCTACGATTAATTCATCACCATTGTGGAAAAATTGTAAAGTCCTAACGTTACAGAAGAATATGAGGCTTCAATCGTGTGCTTCTACCTCTACTGTTGAGGAAATAAAGGAATTTGCAGATTGGATACTAAAAATTGGTAATGGTGAGGTTGGAGAGGAAAACGATGGTGAAGCTTCAATTGAAATTCCACATGATATGTTAATTCTTGATTCGGACGACCCCTTTTCAAAGTTGTTGCATTTTGTTTATCCAGATTTGTTAAGTAATATTTCTACTCCAGATTACTTCCAAGGTAGAGCAAGTCTCGGACCGACTAATGAAAGTGTGGATTTTTTTTAATGATTATTTGTCGTCACTCATCCCTGGAGAAGAGAAGGAATATTTGAGCTCAGATAGTATTTGCAAAGATGAGGCAACTTCTGAAGTTAACGCGGAAATTTATTCACCAGAATTCCTCAACACCATAAAATGCTCCGGACATCCTTCACATAAGTTGAGATTAAAAGTTGGGGTTCCGGTTATGCTCATGAGAAATATTGATCAAGCTAGAGGATTGTGCAATTTAACTAGGCTTCAAGTTACTCAAATGGGAACCCACGTTATTAATTGTAAGATTCTTTCTGGTAAGCATGTTGTTGATATGGTAATTATTCCTCGAATGACTTTGATACCTTCAAATTGCACATTGCCAATCAAATTTCAACGACGACAATTTCCGGTGATTGTTTCATTTGGCATGACGATTAACAAAAGTCAAGGACAAACACTTTCACATGTCGGTCTATACCTTCCACGACCTGTTTTCAGCCACGGACAATTATATGTGGCATTGTCTAGAGTAAAAAGTAGGTCTGGCATAAAGATACTCATCAACTCTGAATCAGGTGAACTGTGCAATGTCACTAATAATGTTGTATACAAAGAAGTGTTTCAACGAATCTGAGGTACATATTTACTAACTTCACGTTTTCAAAACAATATGGTATCTTTTTTATTATTTGTATTAATACATTTCATGCATATATAGGTCTATTGGCAATAAGTACTCTCCAATAACTTTCTCCCAAGGTAATTTAATAATAAATATTTTTTGTGGATGTTACTTTACTACTAATGATTGATTTGGACCGAGTATTTATTATCATTGTGATGTTATTTTCATTGATGATGTAGGTATTTTGAAGAAAGTGTGGTATCATTTGGTTAGGACATAATATGTATTTTAAGTTCAAGATATAACTGTTTGTTTTATTTCATATCACTTTCTAATATCATTGCAAAATGTTCATCATATTTGTTTTAACTATCACTACTATAATATTCACTCCATATATTTTCTTTTTATTTTATTCACAATAAAAAAAACACCATAGCTTTTTTTTTACATTTTTTAAAATTATTTTTTCACTATGTATTCAATTATATTACATTATGACAAAACAATTATCACTATATTCACCGTGCATCGCACGGGTGTATTACTAGTCTTTATAATACGTCATATAGATACGGTGCTCGACAGGGGTATATTCTATGTTCCAAAAATGAAGACACGGGATTTGGGAAAATGGATAAATATTAAAAGTACAGGATTATATTTATAAGTATTCTATAAACATATATAAGTTTTTATTTATATATAATTTTTTTCATTTATTTTTATACAAACATATTCAAAATAAATTACTATCAACTATCAATTGATCATTAAATCATGTAAATAATTTAGGAAAAAACAAAAATATTTAAAAACATTATATTCAAACATGTTTATAACTTTTAAAAAATTGCAAAATGGTCAATAAGGTGCTCGACATGTGTCTTCGAATTTCCAACACGAAATGTTTCCGAAATGGGGAACATTATTATGTTGAAGATTCCGTGCTACATAGCATATACTTCTTATTTCGAAAACTATCACAATCAAATATCAATATTTCAAAAATTAAAATGAAAAATAAAAAACTCAGTTCCGAAATCCATTCAAGCATAATTTATGAAAAATCGATGTCAATTAGGATCTGTTTACACCTCCGCCTCTCTCTCTCTCTCTCTCTCTCTCTAAACCATCTCAACGAAAAATAAACACTGGAAAGACTAGTGAGAGAATGAACATCATCACAGTGGTCTAGGCCTAAATTATTGTACGTACAAATTCCGAAAACAGTTCTATTCAGTTTCTCTACTTGTGTATTTCTCCGAGTAATCTATGTTTGACATAATCTTGCAAACAGGCATCGTTTCGTTCTTACTGAGAAGCTTCAAGCTCGGATGAACCGCCACGTCATCCATAGACACCTTGTCACCGATATCAAGATTACTCACATCCACTTCGATTTTCGGAGGAATGTGCTCTGCTGGGCACAAGTACTTCAAGCTAGCTCTTATCTTACTTAGTGTACCTCCTGTTTTTATTTTCGTAAAGAAGACGAGGTAAACCAATGTCAAATTTCAAACGACAACGTTTATAAACAGAATCCGTTGTGAATAATAGTATGAAATGCAACTCGATCATTCTTCTATATAAGAGAAAATAAACGTGATCAAAATTCAACTGCAAAATAATTATAGGAACACGCAGCGTTTAGGAAAAGATACCGCACATATGGTGGAAGATTGGAAATTTTGTAATGAACGACTTCGGTGCGGGAGAACTCTATAGACACCGATCCAAGAGAAGTCTACATTTTTACGTTGTATTTTGTTCACAAATTATGTCAGAGAAAAAGGGAGATTTTCGTTAACATTTTAAATCAAGATTCTTCGAGGTTCGATGTTATAGCATTTAAAACAAATTATATTCGAGTCATGATGCAGCTTAAAACTGCAAAAATGGGAAACTCTAACCGGAAAAAAAAGGCAGCTTCTTAAACAACACTTAACGAGCGTGGAAAATATGTATAGTTTCATATGCAACTTCACTTCCACTCTTCTTTATCAAATCTTGTAGTGGGCACTATATTTAATTTTTCTAATCGGGATATCTTTCTACCTAGTTTTGGCAAGTCACTTAACTTCGGAGCGTTATTAACAGGCTTAACGCATTTTAGTATCTCTAATAAGAAAGGAGAACACTAAAATTCACGATCGGATCGACTATCAAACAACAACGTATACACATAAGATACAAGTTGAAAAGTCAAAATTTATACCGCAATTTGAACATATGCATAAGAAAAGACAAGTACGGCAATTTGCAACACACTTAGAACTAAGCGCTGAAGAACTAAACAGCGGCAAAAAAATACCAAATAAAAACTGCATTCGATCCAAAGTTAGTTAATCCCATTATTTTATAGTCGATTTTCCCAAAGAAAAAAAACGGGACAGAAGACAAAAGACGAACCTTTCTTGAGGCCGGGGCAAACATCTTCCCCTTTATAAACAATCGGCACATCCACCTTAATCTGTGTTCCATCCTCCGCCCATACAAGCACCAAATTCAATACTTTACCATCTTCATCCCTATGTATCTATACAAACAAAAAATCATAAAATCAAAAAAATTAAAAAAATCAAAAAAATCAAAAAAAATCAAACAAAATTAAAAAAAAAAAAAAAATCAAAAATCAAAGAGGTGAACTAAGATTGGATTTCATGGATATTTGACTACAGACTATCAATCAATCAATCAATCACGTTTCAATTTACAAATTCCATGAATCGAATCACACTATCAATACGATAAAAAGTACTCACTTTAATTGGAAGAACCTTGCCATTTTCAAGTATAGTGGAGGAACCCGACCCGGCGCGGATCTGGAGCGGGAAAGTGGTGGAGCAGAAAAACGGGAGCTCAATGTGCTTCAGAATCGCCTTAATCTGCTTCCGCTCGGTGGTGAGCAGCACTTTTCTAGAAACCAATGCGGACGCGGCGACGGAATTCGGATCCTTGGAATCCGATTGGACGTAGCTCTGGGAGAAAACAACGGTGGGGATCCGACCCTGTGCTCGGTCGCGGACGGAGATCCGATGGCCGGAAATTTCTCTCGGAACGGCTTGGATCGTGTGGTAGGAGCGCCGGAACGGCGTCTCCGCCGCAGTTCTGATGAGGGCCGCCGCCGCGCGCCACCTCTTCGACATTTTTTTTTCTGGGTTGATTTTGAACGGAGAAAACGGGTTGCGAACTCAGTGAGTTGGCAATCTGAGGGTTTCGGCTTTTTTTCCCGTTTGGGGAAAGGGTTTAACAAAAATGAAATGAGAATTGGGTTTTTCTTTTTTTTTTCTTAATTGGGCTTTTATTTGGGCCACATTAGATTTAATTACCTTGTAAATTAAGAACCGAAAGCCCGTATATTATTGTAATAAATTAACGAATAAATTAGTCGACCAAATATGGTTTTAATTCGATATGGTCAACTAGGTACGTTGACTAATTTTTTTTTTATAGGAAATTTAGTCGACAATCGTATTCTCACTTGATTAAATGTAGTGAATTAGTAATGTGCAGCTAGGTAGGTCGATTAATTGTTGTTTTGTCTCGAAAAATTTAGTCGATTATATCAGTTGACCATATCAATCGACTAAAATTCAAAGCACGTAGGACGTAGATTAATTCATTTTTTTAATGCTATAATTCTTTATAAGTTTTTATGTATTTTTTGAATTTTTGAATTCACATGTATGTACTATTTTACTTGACTCTAAGGGATATAATTTATTTATAGGGTAAATTACAAACACCCCCTGAGGTATGGTCAAATTACAAAAACACCTCTCTTGTTTGAATAATTACAACCACCCTTCTCAACTCATCAAATTTAGTGGAATCTTCGAGATTATATGGATGATTATCACTTTTGTACCCGTTTTATCCCATTCAAACTCTACATTATGAAGCAAGATGATCATAATATATGATTTTTAGCTTGTATATATCAGTTTGTGGTGCATCGGAAACCGTATTTTTTACACAAAAAAAGTACAAACTAGATCACATTTCACGGAATCTAGATGACTATGTTGAATTTGGCACCATAGAGGTGGAGGTCTAAGAAAAAATCATAGTTGAGGGGGGTAGATGTAATTATCCAAACAAGAGGGGGATTTTTGTAATTTGACCATACCTCAGGGATTGTTTGTAATTTACCCTTTATTTATATGTTTGGTATTGAGTTTATCAATCTTATTGTTATTTGTAAGAAGATAATATTATTAAGGAAAAAATGTTACAATCAAGGGGAGGATAAAATCCTCAAATCCCATACATCCAACAGATTTAGAGCCCGTTTGGCTAAGCTTATAAGCTCCTAAAAACATCTTATAAGATGTTTAGGAGCTTATAAGTTGTTAAAAGGTGTTTGGTAAAAAAATTGCAAAAGATCTTATTTTTTCCAAAAATAAGCTGTTAGGGAGCTTATAAGATGTTTTTAAAAAAGTACCTCTACCCCACCTTTTTTCTTTAAGATCTTATTTGCTTCTTTACTAAAACACTTAAAATACAAAATTACCCTCAAATACTTTATTATATTACATGAATACTAATAATATTTATATTTTATCAAAACAACGTATTCTTGTAATCAAGATTAATAATTAGTTACATATAATTATCGTAATTATCATAATAATTGTAAAAAAAAATTATTCTCTATTTATATTTTATATGTATATAAAAATACACGAATATTCTTATTATCTCCATAATAAATTATATTTCTTGCATCTACAAAAAAAAATTATATTTCTTTACAACTTTTATTTTATATTATTATATAATTTTATATTATTATTATTATTTGAAAAAATAATTTGTAAATATTATAATAATATTTTAGGAACAAAAATATTTGAGTCAAATAAGTTTAACAATTATACTTGCGTCATGTACTTTTTTGTCATTATAGCAATAAACAGACCTTTTATTTCCAAACACCAGAAGAACTTATAAAAACAAAAAGTAACTTATAAGCTACATATCCAAACACCTTAAAAAATAATTTTTAAAATAAGATCTAACAGCTTATCAGCTCCTAAAACATCTTATCAGATGTAGGAGCTTATAAGATGTTTTAAATAAGCTTAGCCAAACGGGCTCTTAATTAATACATGAGCAAGCTCGTTATACGATGAAACTTAACTTTTTTACCCCAACGAAGAGATCTTACTTATATTATAGGAGCTATTTAACAAAATCGTCCAATGAAGTTCCCTATTGTGATAAATTCAATTTCTTATTCGAAATTTATCTTAAATTATTCAAAATCTCCCTATTTTCTTTTGGAAAAAAATAATAATAATGAAAAAAAAAATTGTCAGTGATAGTAAATTTCCCTATTTACTATTACTGAAAATTGTCCTTTTATATTAATGGAATTTTTTTTTTAAATATGTAAATCCCCTGATTTGGGATCTTATCCTAATCTCTCTCCGTCTCATGCCATTTTGGTTTTTGCCTTTTTTTTTTGTTTTTTTTTTTAATTCTTTTTAATGGTTTTCTTATTTGATTTAAAATATGTTTTAATTTTTATTTTATTTCAATTTTTTAATGGTTTGTGTTTAAAACCAAAATTGAAATTGACAATACACTCATCTAAAACTACTATAAATTTATCGAAAATCACTATGAAATCTTATATATAAAAGAAAGAAACGTTGGGCAACCCCTAAGAAACTCTAATGACATTTCTGTAATTATTTATTTTTAATATTTCTTTTGTACTATTTTATAACGATATTTAAAACAATTATCAAAATTGACACTGAACCGTGAAGAATCCTTCCGGCTTCAATCTCCTATTTTTCATCAATATATCTCAAATATTAAGAAATAAAGATAGAAATTAGACTTGTTAAATTGATCATTTTTTTCTCACTTTAAAATACAATCCCGTGCATCGCACGGGAAAAAAAATTAGTTAAAGTAAAATTTATTATAAAACTAACATAATCCACTTTATATTAATGTAATTCGCTAAAAACTTAATTTCAGTACAAATTGACATAATCCACTAAAAATACAACAACATAAAAAAACAAAAAAGAAAACGAAATCCACTATTAATGAACCCGAGATCGTCTTCCATATCACATGGCCACTGACGCCTCCCTGAAATTTCAGAAAACAGAGTTCATTCATATCCGCACCAGCTCGAATACCACTCAAAAGTAATCTACTACGAAAATAAACAAAAATAGAAGAAAAAAATTCAATGTGCTTGAACTCTAAATCGTATTCCATCTCCCATGGCCATCAACGCCTAAATTCCAGAAAGCATATCTTATCCCTGTGTTGCACCAGCCGAAGATCACCCATAAATTGTCGGTGCGGTTGAACACAATAGACTTCATTTATGGCAGTTCATGGTTATTGGCTCAACCACCGGTATGGTTGTGTCGCCGCCAGTTGGAAAGATGGAGATCTTGTCCTAGGGGATGAAGGAGTTGCGGTGCTTGATATGGTAAATGACGAGGAGGCACACTTGTTCACGACAACTTCCGGTGTCTGCGACGAAGGCGGTCCATCAGGGCGATGATGATGGGGCAATGGAGTGGAAGGTCTCACCCTCGGTGAAGAGAACCGAGATTTGGTGGAAGAGATAGTTGCTAATGTGGAAGAAGAGACGCGGCTACTGTTGAAAGCAGAGGGAGGGGAGAAATTAGAAGTACAAATGAAAATGCTTATTATATGGAATAAGGGTTAGGTAGAGGGTATAATAGTAAATTTGATTAATTATGATTAATTAAAATATATTTAGAATTATCTTAAAAAGTGAAATTTCATTTGCACCCCTCTTAATTGTACAATGGGGTTGTCAAATAATCCATATATTCTACGCTATAACTAGAATTTTCAGAAAATGTTCTGCATAGTCACTTATAACCGTATGATTAAATAAATTCTACCACGAATTAGGGATTTTGAGAAGTATAAATAACAATATGATATATTTGTAAACTTGCCGATCAAACTTGTAAAGACACTAAAACCTTGATTGATGGCGAAATTTATTTAGTCATATCTACCATCGTGAGTTACTACATAGAACAGTCCATAAAAATTGATTTTTAAATATTTTTGTTGTATTTCTTTTATTTTCTCTTTTCAAAACACTTGATCTTTTTTCAAAACTATAATTTTAAGCGAAGCTAAGTGATTAAATGTAGGATTGTTCCTGGCCCTGTTTTATCCACCAACCAACTCTTTTTTTACCCATAATTTTATATCGATAATCAACTATCAACCAACTCATGCAAGCTTGGTCGATTTTATCAACCAACCTATATATAGTTGGGTCGACAATAGTTTAAAATATGTTAAAAATTTGGATGGTTGGTTAATATTTGTCAGTCAAATTTATTTATTATTTATTAATTTTATTAAATTCTCTAGTATTTTATTAACTAAATTGCTCAAAATATATAAACATAAATACCAATGTTCAATAACTCATGAGCTGCTACTGGTAACCTACTTCTCTGGCCATCACCTGCGGTTGCGACTGGTTCACCTAAAAGGTAAAGATGAATTTATAGTTTGATTTTTTTTTTAATTGATTAGAACGGCTATTATTTAGTTTTAATTATAAGAACATAATATTGATGTAACCCCTATTGATGTAACCCCTGACATATTTAATTGTATGAACATACTGCTCTAGGTAAATGTGGGCATTATATGCGTTTTAAATTTAAATACACATGACAATAGATCATCGTAGTTAGAATGACGATTCAAAACCATCTTCAATTGCATACATAACCATCCAGTTTACACTCACTTTAGCTTTCAGTTGTTGACTTTCATAATCTATGGCTTGTTTTATGATTACATTTGTTTTTTAGCAAATTAATTATATAGAATAAAGAAATATTCGGAATTCACCAACAAAGAAAAGATAAAATATTTAAAATAATTATTAAACTCAAAATATGTCCCAAACGAAAGCCCTAGGTACTTATTTATTCTAAAGAAAACTGAAAATCCAAAATAAATTAGGAAAAACTAAAAATCACAAAATAGGAAACTATAAACGAGATAACTCCTAATCATAATAGAATTCTTAATTGTAAAATTTTATTCGAAAAACTCATATTTTTCTTCGATGTTTCCACATATTCCCATCAATAAATCCTTCTTATATGGTTAACTGCAATATGAATAATTACATTATTTGCATAGAATAAAATTTGCATTCATGAAAATGTCCTTTTTGTCCTAATATAATAACCCTTCAATATTCAAACGTGAACAAACTCCTAATTTATTGCTAATCATTATCATTTATCACTAACCACGTCTCTTAATTAGTAATTAGTCGCTAAAACGGAATCTAATCTATTATGATCGACGGTTCACATTAATTCTTCTACATACACGTGTGCACTCGTAGAGAAACAACGTAAACAACTTCTTCATCTGATTCAGTTTCATTTTCTTGTTCAATATTTTCCGCTTCCGACTAAAACCTAGCTAGGAGGAAATTAGGTATTATTTTTTTCAATTTCTTTATTATTTTAATTCTTAATTAATCCATGTTTTCTTCTCCGGTTAACATTTCACAGTTACTACAGCTCTCTTTTCTCTCCGGCGACAATGATTTTTTTTTTTTTTTAATTTTTTGATTGATGTTTATGTTAATTGGTAGAAAATTAATCAATCAGATCATACTACAAAAAAAATTTTGTTTAATTTGTCAGATGTTGAGAAGGAGGGAAGCACTGGCGTCAAACACTCCGTGCGCGGCGTGCAAGTGTCTGCGGCGGAAATGCGTGAACGACTGCATCTTCGCCCCGTACTTTCCGCCAAACGACCCCCAGAAATTCACGAACGTCCACAAAGTGTTCGGCGCGAGCAATGTGAGCAAGATTCTCCACGAGCTCCACCCTCGATTGAGGGAGGACACAGTCAAATCGCTCGTCTTCGAGGCGGAGTGCCGCCTCCAGGACCAGGTGTACGGTTGCGTAAAGCACATCTATTTCCTACAGGAGACTATGAAGAAACTTCTAAACGAAATCCAATCCCGCAAAATGGACTTGACCAGATATATGGGGCCTCAGGCCATGCTGGTGGGGACCCCGCACGATCCTCACCGTATCGAGATGCAGCAGATCGTCGCCCACGAACAACAACAGCAGCAACAACAACAATTGATGTTGCATCATCAACTGCAACAACAGTTGCTGCTGAATGATGCGGTGAGCTTTAATGACGTGTTTGATGGTCCTGGAAATGAAAATTCGGTTACGGCATCTGGTTTTAATCAGATGCCCGCGGCCGCGGTTGATGTGGTGCAACCTCACACGGTGGGTTTGGATTGTTCTTACGGTGATCACCTCCAAACGCAGACTCCGCTGCAGCAAGAGCAACGACAAACTTTTTGTGATTCTGATAAGCAACCAATAATCTAAAGCTTGTATGTTCCTTTCTTTAGGTTTAGGAGTGTGGATGTTATAATCGTGAATAAAGCGAAACAGTGCAAATGGGGAAACATCCGATGGAACGATCCGCGTGGACTTTGAAACATCCGATGGGACCATCCGATCCGCGGGGACTTTTGCAACATTCCATTTTTTTGCATATTTCTGTTGCAATCAATTAGAATGATTCCAATTGATTGAACTATTTTAAGGAGTCTTTGCATTAACTACTCGATTTTTTTACTACTCGTTTTATTATATTTTAACGAGTAATATTCAATTGTACGTGCGTATTTATCCAATTCACAGACATACACAACCCCACGTGTTTTTTTCGTTTTTTTTTTTTGTGTGTGTTAATCTACGATAACATGCTCGAGATATGCAATATGTGATATGGGCAACAACAATTTTATTACGCCAATGCCCGACTGTATTAATGTTTTTTTTTTGCGCTCATCTACGATAACATGCTACGAGATATTCAATATGTGATACGAGCAACAAGAATTTTATTACACAAATACCCGACTGTATTACACAAATGTCAAAACAATTCATTCTAAGATTCAACACATTTCTATAATCTCTGCAAATTCAAAATCTTATGCCTTGAGACGGACGAGAAAATATTTCGATCTACACGATTTGTATACTTATGATTTATCTATATTTGTATATATGTGAACAATTTCTAGGATGTACAAAACCCTATACATTTCGATCTACATGCTTGTGGGCCCCGCCATTCGAAACACAGCCTTCGGTTTTCTCACCTTCTTCTTCTTCTTCCAAGCTAGCACCGCCGGTGGCTGAACCCTCTTCGTCCGGCCTTGGAAGAAGACACAAATGCCCTTGTGGGGAGGCGGAATGTGCAGCCACCGGGTTCGATAAAGTAGGAACCTTTCTTACATGAATCCTGTATTTCTGAAGAAAATTTTCGAAACTTTTGATTATTCAAAAAATAAAGACAATAATATACATGCTGATTATATTCTTGATTTCCAGTGGCGTGGCGGAGCCAGAATTTTATGTTCAGGTTCAAACATACATTAAAAAATCAGTTATTATTATTATTATTATTATTATTATTATTATTATTATTATTATTATTATTATTATTATTATTATTATTATTAATTGTGTTTTTACCTGCAAATGGCTTTTCACTTCATCATTAGTGAGGCCTTCCACTTTCATAATTCCCCTAATCTGCTTTGGTGTCGCTACTATAAAAAGAAGAAATATAAATGGATATATTAAATATTTTCATGTGTGTGTGTGTGTGTGAGAGAGAGAGAGAGAGAGAGAGAGAGAGAAAGAGATACTTTGAGCACCACCAAGCTGATTGAGGGCATCAACAAATCTGTCGTGCAATTCAGGAGACCAACATCGACGATGTTTCTTCTCCAGTTCCTGTTGGTGCAGTTTTGGCCTACCAGGACCAAAATGCCCTTTGACGGTCAAACCATGGACTGGTACTGCTGTTGGCTGTCGCAGCGGATTACCTCCTCTCTCTTCTTCCACCATTGCCACGTCATATGATTTCTTGAATGGCATAAATGACCCTTCCTTGTGCCTGAATTTACTCCCATTGCCCTCCCCTTCTTGATCACACCTCTGAAATTAAATCAAAAGTAATAAATACAATTTACCAAAACATTTTTACTAAATAAAAAAATTAATAATAAATAATTTTTTTTTTTACTGATGTCAGGTGCAAAATGGAATCTTGATTTCTGGTCAAATAGTTGGTTTCGTATTGAACAGGGGTGGTCCACAGCTGCACCGAACTCATCCAATTCTTCCTCTCTCTAGAGTCATTTGACGCTTTTGCCCTTCCATTTCCACCCTCACTCTTAAACAGCATCAATTCCTCCTCCTTCAACCTCTGAATTGCTACAGATTAAATAAAAGATAAAAAATAATTATTATCCAAATCATCCCCAAAAAAAACAACAAATTCCAAAAGGGATCTAAAAAAAAATAAAATAAAAAAATCGAATCTTTTTAATAAATTAAAATTGCGACAAAAAAAAGATTAATAATAATAAAATAAAAATTATTGTTATCCAAATCATCCCAAGAAAACAGATTCCAAAAGGGATCTAAAAATAAAATAAAAAAATCGAATCTTTTTATTAAATTAAAATTTCTACAAAAAAAATAATAAATAAAAATTATTGTTATCCAAATCATCCCAAAAAAACAGATTCCAAAAAGGATGTAAAATAAAAATAAAAATAAAAATCGAATCTTTATTTTTGAAATATTATAAAAATCAAATCTTTATTTTAGCAGATTTTATATTTTACATATTTTTTTCTACAGACCATCGATCAAGAGGCGCATGCAGTTCGGCAATTCACGTTTGAAGCCATCAATCTTCCTCAGTTCATCTTCGAACGCGCCGACATAAAATTCAAGCTTCCTTAATTTCCTCGAAAAATCATCAGTTCGAGAAACCTCCGCCAGAATGTCTGAAATGGTCTTCAAATTCCGATCACCCATTAGTGTGTGTTTTGTGTGTGCAAAAAAAATCTGAATCTTTTGCTTTGATTCTTGATATATCACAATCGCCTTGTCTGAAACTCAGTGGATGAGGATTTGGGTTTATATAGGTGTAAAAAACTAATGCAGGGGCATAAAAGTCAATAAAGGAGTGTGGAAACAGCAAACTGATTGATTCCTCACATTTTCGTGTCCTAGCATATATGCATGCAATTATAGAATCTCTTGACTTTTGTTTTTCTTCATAAATGATTAATATTCCAAAAAGGGTAGTTGGATTAGTAGTACATGAGGGTATTGGGTGAGGGTAAAGTTGTCTTTTCACTACAAAAAGTTGGGATTTATGTGATTTGATTTTGATTAATTTGTTTAGTATAGTAAGTGAACTTTTGACAAGATGATAACTATATATAACTGAAAGAGGGTAACTTTATTCAGGATTATGAACATTTTTAATTTATTATAAACTTTAATTTTTGGTGAATAAGATTCTTATATTTATGCATTATAATTATTGTAGCTCCTATATTTAAAAATAAAAAAAATAAAATTTGATTTTCGGATTCGAGTTATCTTTTATTTATTTTTTGTTTTTTGACCAAAGTATCGAAATTTTTTAGGTATTACGGATATCTCCCTTGATATATATGGTAGTTCTTATATTATTCTGGATAAAAATAAATAAATAAAAAATATGGTTGCATTAGTAAATGAAAATTAAGTAGATATTTTTTTTTTTTTTTGAATTTTATTAACCTCAATCATTTTTGTAGAGGAGTTTACCTCAATCTCATTTTTACATAATCTACTTAAGGTTATTTTACCTTTTGGTGAATAAGTCCTAGGTAGTTTATAATAATAATAATAATAATAATAATAATAATAATAATAATAATAATAATAATAATAATAATAATAATAATAATAATAATAATAATAATAATAATAATAATAATACTTTGACCGCATTGGATTAGTTCGATTTTCCCTTTCCACGTCAGTTAAAATGCTAAAATTTGCGGGCGTATTTGAAATTAAATATAATTTGCAAAATTATAATATATATCATATCTAACATATAAATGCACTTTTATAATATTGTGTTAGATCTCTTAATTTAAATTTGCCTTTATATATTATATGGAATCTAGGTACGTTTCTGGTTGACGTACCACATCATTAAATAATTAAGGTCATTTTAATTCTTTTAACGTGTTTTTCATAAAATCAAGTTATATTTATTGAGATTCTTAATACTTTTGCAAATCCGAAAAATAAAAATTAGAGAAAAACGGAGGGGGCAATTTTAGTCTTACTCTTCAAACATTGTCACAATCCGACAAACGCGATCGAACATCGTATTGAAAGTGTGAAACTATTGTCATTATGTCAAATTAACAAAAGTGATGAATATTTCTCTTTATGGTACATGTTAATAAAATATTCTAATTAGAAGTTTATAAACACAATTAAATTCCTTTCGCATCGAATCTCATTTACTTTAATCACGGTCCGTATTTTATCTTTAATTAAAAGTTCACAATTAAAGTCTGAATATTTATTTATATCTTAAAAGAGTACAAACGTATTATTATGCGTCAAACGCCAAAATAATTAGATGCAAAACTTAGATGCAAGATTATTTAAGATCCATAAATCCATAATTAGCCAAAAGAAAAAAAAAGGGAAAATTTACAAACATTTTAAGGACATGTAAATAGAATGTGTATTTATTTTTCCATATTTGAAAATGGAAAAGACGCATTTGCCCCTTGAAAGAAAAGACGCATTTGCCCCTTGAGAAATACGTGTGCAAGTCATGTGATTCACAAATAATAATTTACTATATTATCTAATTTTCAATGTATATATTATCGTCTAGCGAAACGACACCGTTTTTGAGCTCCATATTCTTCGTCACTTCTGCTACAGAGAGAAAGGAGAAGATATTTTTTTTTCTTCAGATAAATCGCCGACCAAAGGAAACAAACAATCAAAATCAGCTAAATTTTTTTCTCTCTCTATCGAATTCTGGAAACTTCCAGAACAACCGCGCCTCCACACCTCTCTATTTCTCCAACCCAATCGAGGGCAAAACCGACTTTATCCACTCGCCGATCTTCCGTCCCCCCACATCTGGTCAACTGCCGGAGAACCGCCGCCGGCGGGTTAAATGAACTGATTTTTCATCTCTAGAAGCCGGCGGTTTTTAGGTTTTGCTGTCGAACAGTCCACACCAGCTGAAATGGATCGGTCGGTGCTGGGTGCGGGTCCGGGTTCGGGTATGGATATGTCGATCATGCACGATAGTGATCGGTACGACCTGGTTCGAGATATCGGGTCGGGTAATTTCGCCGTGGCCCGATTGTTGAGGGATAAGCTGACGAAGGAACTCGTTGCGGTTAAGTATATAGAGCGAGGCGATAAGGTCAGTTTTTAATTTTTTCCCCCTTTTTCTTTTTTAGGTTTACTTTATCTCGTCTTTTATTGGCTTATCTGAAACCGATTTTTTTTTTTTTTTTTTTTGAATTATTATTTGAAACCGATTTTGATTTGCCTATTTGGGGATGTTTGTATTTAACACGCAATTATTCATGTAATCTTCCTCCACTCCACTGTGTACTAACCTTTTATAGAACATACCTAATTTTGTTTTGTTAAAAATGGCAATTCACAGTAATCTTAGTGTAAATCACCAACCGTTCATTAGTTCATGAAGTTATTATTGAACAAAGGGATTGATTTTTGTGAATTGTTGTATGGTAACTCTATTTGCAGATAGACGAAAATGTTCGGAGAGAAATCATCAACCACAGGTCTTTGAGGCACCCAAACATTGTTAGGTTTAAAGAGGTTTGTCACTTGTAAGATTTTCGAGTTTTTTTATTATGCTTTATGTTGTAAACTCGATACTTTGCCTCAGGTGATTCTGACACCGACTCATCTGGCTATTGTGATGGAGTATGCGTCTGGAGGAGAGTTATTCGAGCGCATAAGCAATGCAGGACGATTCAATGAGGACGAGGTTCTTTATTTTCTCTTTCATGTTCTCGTATTTTATAACATCTGTGTGTGCTTACAGTCTTGTCTGCGAATGTTTTATTCCTGCAGGCTCGTTTCTTTTTTCAACAACTTATATCTGGAGTTAGCTATTGTCATTCGATGGTATGAAAATGTTCTATTGTAGAAGTTTGTTCGATTGCGATTCTGACCTTCAACGTAAATGCAAATCTGATCTAACCTCTCTCTTTTTATATCACTTAACGAAGCAAATATGCCATCGTGACTTGAAGCTGGAGAACACACTGTTGGACGGAAGCCCAGCTCCTAGGTTGAAGATATGTGACTTCGGGTATTCCAAGGTAATCTTTCTTGTCGAGCTATTATTAGTTGCTATCTGGTTATCTGTTCTATCTAACATCTTGTATTAATTATATAATTACGCATGTGCTCTTACAGTCTTCTTTGCTGCATTCGCAACCAAAATCTACAGTCGGAACTCCTGCATATATTGCTCCTGAGGTGTTACGTAGGAAAGAATACGATGGCAAGGTAAAACAATTCATTGCTGTAGATGAACTTTTATGTCATAAGAACATTGTATAACCAGTTTCCATTTTCATGAATGTGAATGTAAAGCCAATCTTTTTTCATTTTTTAGTTGCCCTCATGGTGATATGTATCTCCCGTTTTAAGCTGCATACAAGATGAAATTAATTGACTATTCGTCCCTTTAAAATCTTGTTCTGGTTTGAAGTTAACACTATTAAAAAACAGCTCTCTTCTTGAGTCATGTTCCAAATTGCTCATTCGGTTCAACCATTGTTGCCGTTATTTATTCTTCGGTTCCAAGCTTCGAATCGTAATATATATATATTAGAGAAGCTTTTGCAAAGATTAGGGACTTGAGTTGTGTAGGCAACGAGATTTTTCGATAAATGTTTTCGAAATTTCCCATGTAAAGCATTGCTGCAAATCTCACTAATAGTAACCTTTTGCTTCAGATTGCTGATGTATGGTCATGTGGAGTGACATTATACGTAATGCTAGTTGGTGCGTATCCGTTTGAAGACCCCGAAGGACCAAAGGATTTCCGTAAGACAATACAGAGAGTCCTCAACGTTCAGTACTCCATTCCAGAAAACGTCCAAATATCCGACGAATGTCGCCATCTAATTTCCAGAATCTTTGTCGGCGAACCTGAACAAGTGAGTGATTTCATCACCTTTATAAAAAAAAATCCCATTTTAATCAGTAATTAACTACAAATAAATAACAATTCATATTTTAATTCTACGCGCACAGAGAATTACGATACCCGAGATCACGAACCATGCGTGGTTTCTAAAGAACCTTCCGGGCGATCTCATGATTGATAGAACGATGGGGAACCAATATGAAGAGTCGGATCAGCCTGTACAGAGCTTGGAAGTGATAATGCAGATAATGTCTGAAGCTACTATACCTCCGGTTGGTATGTACACCCTGGACAAGATGTACGACGACATGGACGATGACATGGACGACCTAGATTCCGACCCTGATCTCGATGTTGACAGCAGCGGTGAGGTCATTTACGCCATGTGATTTGCGACAGCTGTATATCTGTATCAACCCTGGGTTTTTGTTTTGGTTGTGGGATGAGCAATTTGTGGAAGTGTATTTAGGAGGGTGGGAAGAAAAAGGGATCCTGCTATTATATGTACCTTTTGCTGTATGCTGTATTGTTAGTTGTGTTAGGAGATTTTTATGATGTTGTATGAATTTGGTAAAATACCGATGAATTTGCTGTTTTGCGTTTCTGGATTTGTTGCATCTATTGCTACGTATTCAGCTTGACGGGTTTATTCGTCGGGTTTTAAGTGGAATTGATGATGGATTATCTTGTCAATTATGGTGTGTTGATTGTGTTCTGCATTCAGAAGTTTTTATGTTTTGGTGTTTTAGTGTGGGATTGTGATGGAGAAGCTGATTAGACATTTTCTTTGTATGAAATAATGGGCAGTCCAAGTTGTACATTTAGAACTACCAACCAGGAAAAGGAAAAAATGAAATATATACTGCTTGAAAGATTTGATCAAAATTACACCCGGTGAATTTCACTAAATGTATTTTTTTATTTCTAGGGAACAAGATGAAATTTTCACTATTATATTTAATTTTTTACCAACTACCTTTTTTTATACATATCCAATATACTGTACATATGTAAATATGGTATAAATATGAAAAAGAACAACGGTATACCGTATACATAGGTATAATATGGTAAAAATATGAAAAAGAAAAATTAAAAAAAATTAAAAAATATATGGACCGTAATTGTTCGGGAGGATTGAACCCGACGTGAATCGAACACGCAACCTTCTGATCTGGAGTCAGACGCGCTACCATTGCGCCACGGATCCG